TTTTTTTTTTCGAGAAAACCTTTCAGGTGTGAATTTTGCACTTATTTGTAAAATATTTCCTTTGACAGCTGGAAGGCTCTCAATTTTTTCCGCAATGAGGGGTGTTCGAAAAAGTTATTTTTCTTACACTGAACTTTTTCACTCGGATCGGTATTGCTTTCCTCTTTCCCATTCCTGCAGACTCCATTCAATGCGCAGTTCGCGACCAGGCTCCATGTTTTCCATAATGGCAATCTGGCATATCACGAGAGCACTCTTAGGTCTTCATTCTTTCAGTTTGCTAGCATTCATGAGGCTCCATGTATGATTCCAGTATCAGTGACATCGGTGTGAGGGGGTTTGTTTGATTGGGTGAGAATTCAAAGTTTTCGGCATGTACGAATGGAGATGATGTTCGCATGCAAATCATGATACGCATCTCTTTGAGAAACCCCATAGAGTAAGGAGACAAGCACTCCCAAGTGAATAGATAACAGTTTTGCCTGGATTTAAAGCGGAAAATCATGGATTGCAGTAACAAGGGTTTTCTCGCGCTAGGCGGTGGCCGTGATGCTGGGGATTTTATACCTGAGACAGGATCTCACGGCCGAGGGGGTCATGAACATCAACGGCGCGCTCTTCCTCTTCCTCCTTATTTCCTCCTACCAGAATTCCTTGGCTGTGATCTACGTGAGTTTGGGGTGTTTTCAAGGCATTTCCCCTCCCCCCACCCCTTTTCCCGCTCCTTTAACGAGGTGTCCATATTTGCAGGTGTTCTGCGAAGACCAGCCCATCTTCCTACGGGAACAACGGAGCGGACTGTACCGAGCAGACGCCTATTACCTCGGGAAGACGTTGGCGGAGCTGCCGTTCTACGTCATCTTCCCCGCCGCGTTCACGGCGATCGCGTATCCCATGATCGGGCTCGACCCGGGGCGGTTCCTCGTCTGCGTGCTCGTCATGGTCGCCATCGCGAATGTGTCCTGCTCCTTCGGTACCGAGAGGAAGTGCTTTCGGATGAGGACTTGCCGTTTCGAGTGTAGTGGATTTCGTTTTTTTCTCGTAGGTTACATGGCGTCGTGCATCGCGTCAACCGTGGAAATGGTTTTGGCCTTCGTTCCGACCATCATGATGCCGATCATGATGCTCAGCGGCTTTTTCCTCAACAATGAGTGAGCTTCTTTTTTCTTCGGAACCTCAGAATTGCAACAGAAATTAAAATGTCTCTTCCTGTGGTTTTCCATTTGCCCAGTGAAAAGGTACTCCAATCTCTTTAAATGCATTGAAGCTGAATTTCCACGTACTTTTTGGCTCAAATTTGCAGTTCGTCAAAAGTCCCGAGAAAAAAGTGATTCCACCGATCTCAGAATCGGATAATTCCACAACTTTTTTTTTTCCCTCGCTGACAGCACGATCCCCTGGTACTTAATATGGGTGAAGTACATCTCGTGGTTCTACTACGGGAACGAGGCCCTCGTGATCAACCAATGGAAAGGCGTGGAGAAGATCGAGTGCGGGGATTCCTTCGCGTGTCCTGAAAACGGAGACTCCCGGTCGGATTCGAGGTATCTCAGGTGGAGAGAGGAAACGTCTCTCCATCGCCTCTGAGGTTTTCATTTATTAATCTCACACTCACTCCCTTTATACTGTATATTTAAACATTTATGTACGAAAATGTTGCTCAAAGGTACTGACGGACCCACCGTTGCTCTTCTGCGACGAGCCGACCTCAGGCCTGGATTCATTCATGGCCCAGCAAGTTGTGGCCTTGATGAAGTCCCTGGCCGAGAAGGGGAAGACTGTCATCTCGACCATCCATCAGCCCTCATCCGAAGTCTATAGCTTGTTCGATCGGATTCTTTTAATGGCCGAAGGGAGAACTGCGTTCATGGGAAAAGTTGATTTCGTCATTTCTTTCTTTCAAGGGTATGCATTCATGAGAAACTCCTAAGATTATTAGAGAGTTGAAGAGTTGCAGCTGGTCTCGAATGCAGGGTTATTTCACCTCATACCACCCATTCTAATCAAGGTTACCATCTCCCGATTTTATTAAAATTTGTGTGCTTTGATTTCTTTTAGGAGAAGTGAAAGACTTGCCAATTTTTCATTCACTGACCATTTGTTCAAAATTTAAGCGCATGCGAAATTTCAAAGGCTGGGATGCACTCGTGGGAATATGGACAGAAAATCCGGAATCATGTTTCGATTTCAGAAACAAATAAGTCGTCCTTGCGAAGGTAAAACTTGGGGGATCCGAAATACGTAATCACAACCGGGATTTAAAAATACTTGAGCATGTTCGTACGTCTGAGCAAATTTCAGCCTTGAAAATGATATTGTGGGTAAGGAGCCAAACTGATGGAAATTTCGTAGTCGAAGCACATATATTTGAGCTACATTAAGGTATGCTTTCATAGCTATGTTTTTTCTTGTTATCCCGCAAGTAATTTTCAAGCTGGGCTCGTCATGCTCATCCGCCCCTGGAAATTCTGAATTTGGGGACAAAATTCATTTGAAGCTTCACTGTTTTTTGCTTGGGTTAATGGTTAATTTTGGTTAATGTGAAATGATAATTTTGAAAACCCATACGGAAGATTCACAAGGGAATCCTACTGGAATGTCGGTGTAAAACTCGTTCCATCCCGCTTCCAATTGGAATTGTGAAGGAATGAATTCTTATTCACTTGTTAAGCCAACTTTGAATCGTGAGCAAGATTTCCTTTGAAGGTCTGCAAATAAAAATGCTCACGTGATGTGTTTCGCAGCAAAATCTCTCTCCTCCCCCTCTCTCTAGAGGAGTCTCACACCCACATCCATGCGATTGCAAAATCATACTTTTTTGGCATAAATCTCTGAAAACACCGAACTTAGGTAGTAATGTCGAACCCTGGTGACTTTTTGTTGGGCTTAGTGTACGGTATTTTAGGATGTTGTTGTGTTCTTATTGTCGCTCTTGTCCTTCCAGGTCATTAGGTGAAATAATTGTTTTTTTAACAGCAATTTTGGAAGGAAAAATATTATTTTGTTCTCGCATGGTTAAGGATTGAGTCTTCCCAGGAGTGAGAGATAGAGAGAGGGAAAGAGAGCGGGAGAGAGTGAGAGATTTTGAATTGGATCCACGGCACGTGCATATCTTGAATTGTGGACCATCAGAAGGAATTCTTACTCATGAATCCAGCAGAATCTGATCAGACTGGAAAAACGTCATCTTTTCTCTTCCCGCGAGAGGTTCAATCTCCGCCTCTGAAATTTCTCATGCGAATATCTTTTTGAACAATTGGTCCGAGGATTTTTTCACCCTAGCGAATGAATCAGATGTAGAAAGCTGAAATGTGATTTACTGGGAGCTTGCCCTTCGATGAAGTGAACTCGCTAGTATTTTATGTTTTAAATACCTAGAGTGGGTTACGAATGTCCGCCAAACTATAACCCGGGGGACTTCTTCATCAAAACACTCGCCGTCGTCCCGGGAGAGGAGGAGGAATGTCGACGACGGGTGGTCCGGATCTGCGACGCGTTCAGAGACTCGGAAGAAGGGAGGGCGATGGAGAAGGAAGTGGAGCTGCAGCGGGTCGATGGGGCCTGGAATGACCCGGGAGAGTTCAAGAGGAATGTGAAGTCCAAGGGATCCTGGTTCGCCCAGTTTCGCACCATCCTCGCTCGTTCCTGGACTGCCAACCTTCGTGAGCCCTTGCTCATCAAACTTCGGATCTTACAGACAGTGGTCAGTACCTTTCAAGTACCTCTTTCTTCTCCAGCAAATCTAGATTCTTTCGGTAATCCCCCAATTTTTTTTTTTCGAGAAAACCTTTCAGGTGTGAATTTTGCACTTATTTGTAAAATATTTCCTTTGACAGCTGGAAGGCTCTCAATTTTTTCCGCAATGAGGGGTGTTCGAAAAAGTTATTTTTCTTACACTGAACTTTTTCACTCGGATCGGTATTGCTTTCCTCTTTCCCATTCCTGCAGACTCCATTCAATGCGCAGTTCGCGACCAGGCTCCATGTTTTCCATAATGGCAATCTGGCATATCACGAGAGCACTCTTAGGTCTTCATTCTTTCAGTTTGCTAGCATTCATGAGGCTCCATGTATGATTCCAGTATCAGTGACATCGGTGTGAGGGGGTTTGTTTGATTGGGTGAGAATTCAAAGTTTTCGGCATGTACGAATGGAGATGATGTTCGCATGCAAATCATGATACGCATCTCTTTGAGAAACCCCATAGAGTAAGGAGACAAGCACTCCCAAGTGAATAGATAACAGTTTTGCCTGGATTTAAAGCGGAAAATCATGGATTGCAGTAACAAGGGTTTTCTCGCGCTAGGCGGTGGCCGTGATGCTGGGGATTTTATACCTGAGACAGGATCTCACGGCCGAGGGGGTCATGAACATCAACGGCGCGCTCTTCCTCTTCCTCCTTATTTCCTCCTACCAGAATTCCTTGGCTGTGATCTACGTGAGTTTGGGGTGTTTTCAAGGCATTTCCCCTCCCCCCACCCCTTTTCCCGCTCCTTTAACGAGGTGTCCATATTTGCAGGTGTTCTGCGAAGACCAGCCCATCTTCCTACGGGAACAACGGAGCGGACTGTACCGAGCAGACGCCTATTACCTCGGGAAGACGTTGGCGGAGCTGCCGTTCTTCGTCGTCTTCCCGGCCGCGTTCACGGCGATCGCGTATCCTATGATCGGGCTCGACCCGGGGCGGTTCCTCGTCTGCGTGCTCGTCATGGTCGCCATCGCGAATGTGTCCTGCTCCTTCGGTACCGAGAGGAAGTACTTTCGGATGAGAACTTGCCGTTTCGAGTGTAGTGGATTTTGTTTTTTTTTTTTTTCTCGTAGGTTACATGGCGTCGTGCATCGCCTCAACCGTGGAAATGGTTTTGGCCTTGGCTCCGACCATCATGATGCCGATCATGTTGCTCAGCGGCTTTTTCCTCAACAATGAGTGCGTTTCTTTTTTCTTCGAAACCTCAGAATTGCAACAGAAATTGATATGTCTCTTCCTCTGGTTTTCCATTTGCCCAGTGAAAAGGTACTCCGATCTCTTTAAATGCATTGAAGCTGAATTTCCACATACTTTTGGCTCAAATTTGCAGATCGTCAAAAGTCCCGAGAAAAAAGTGATTCCACCCAGAATCTGATAATTCCACAACTTTTTTTTTCCCTCGCTGACAGCACGATCCCCTCGTACTTAATATGGGTGAAGTACATCTCGTGGTTCTACTACGGGAACGAGGCCCTCGTGATCAACCAATGGAAAGGCGTGGAGAAGATCGAGTGCGGGGATTCCTTCGCGTGTCCTGAAAACGGAGACGAAGTCATTGCCTCCCTCAACTTCGACAAGGTGCATTTAATCGTTTAACTCCATTTCTATGAACCGGAATTGAATTTCTATAAGCCTTTTTTTTCCATTATAAACCTAACTAAAATTTCCATAATCCTCATGAAACCTTCTAAATGCCGTATAGGATAATGAAGTGCGGGACTGGCTGATGCTGTTGGTCCTGATGATGGCGTTTCGGATCATCGGCGTTCTGGCGCTCCACTTCAGGGCCGCTCGACAGAAGTGAGATGAAAAAAAAAATAGCTCTCGCAAAATCCGATTAAGAAATGCGGGGGAGTCTCCGGAGACCGCGACGGCGAATGACGCGTTCCTCGGTTGCTTTTGCGTTTTTTGTCTTCCGCGGACTGGGGCGGGACGAGTGCATATAATTTTATTCGATTGTGGTTCAAGTTGTGTGCATTGCTTCGAAGAAAACTCTCGAAATGATATATGACACTTGCGTTCGAGAACCGATTGCGATGGAAACAATATTTCATGGACATGATATGCCAAGAAAATCCTATAAAGAAGCTCCATTTTGGGCTCGATGACAGTAAAAAAGTGGAGTTTTTAATAGTCACGTGTTCATTTATAACAATCAACATGGAACCGCTGAATTCTCACTCTTTTGAAAGGATTTTGACCCAGTTTCTCCTAGGAACTCCATTGATTCGGTTTCCTATTCCTCCATTTGCATGTGAGTGATGGTTGGGCACTTTGACGGGAATGATCAAAATGTTCTATTCACTTGGTAAGAAAATATAGAGAAATACTTCCACCCCCCTCAATATTGTGCCTCCCCAGTGGATGGACCCTAAAAGTATATATTTTCCATAAATTAGCATCCCGAGGCTTACTTGTGCGCCGAAAATCGTTTTTCTGTCATTTCTGGAACAAAAAAGTTTCAGGAAATCCCACCCAACCTCCTTCCACCCAAAAAAAAAATTTCCCCTAAGTGATGTATTCCAAAAGTGGTGTTTTTCCTCGATCGCACAATCCATAAGTGGATTCTGCGTTCATATTGGTTACATGGCTAGTTACACGACAATGGCTCGTATAGATTTCGTCTCGTAGTACTGGGGGCCCGCTTGAAAAAAACCGGCGCTTCCAGAAGAACGCAATCACAACCCATTCGGCACAACAACGTTGTGTCGACGTTGAAAAAAGGTTGATGGCAATGTTGCCTCAATGTTGAAAAAAGGTTGACTTTTCAACGTAACATGTTGCCATGACGTTGCCACAATGTTGAAATGAAACAGCTCAACGTTGAAAAGTTGATGCTGTGCGACGTTGTGTCAACGTTGAATTTTCAACGTAAGGGTATTATAGTACCTCCTCCCTATTCCAGGGTTTGAATGAGTTNCCCATGGATATCCCTTGCAAGAACATTGCACGTGCCGTGGAAGTTTCCAACTAACCCTAGGATATTCTGCTGGCTTCTCCCTTGGATGACCTTCGGATACATCACATGGTTGTTTGCTGGACCTTTACGGGACTCATGGGCGTCGTGGTTTTCCTTATATCTATTTGTGCGATAGAAATCTTTCTGTCGTGGGGGATTCCCTACTTGTCGCCTCAATAGAAGATTCTGTGCATGAATTCTCAGTAACTTTTATTTCGGGACTAAGGAACGCATCTGGCAACCGTAGCAATAGTTGTATCTCCGCTCCCTGCATGAGTTGTTCACGACCTTCGCTTTATAATTATTTGGCTTCGTAATTATGTAACCAAGCAGCTAATTCACTCACTAGTTGCATCACGTCATAATAGCATAACCAACATTTTCTTAGCGTGCGACTGTTAGCTCCAGCTCTTCCACGATCCCTTATAATTGGCCTATTTCCTCTCTGCATTAAGTCTTATTGACCCCGCCTTGTACCAATTATATTCCTATTCAGGCTTTCATTAAAAACTGACATATTTGTTCCAGGCACTTCATTTTCTACCGCCACCCTGGGGCGATCTAGGCTGTTCCAGTGGCAAACGATCCCTGAACTATGCCATTGAATCTCAGTGACATGGCACGACAATTACATTTTCCTAATTGGGACGATGCAGTGATACAGATCAATATCATTCATCTTGACTGTCATTGATTCATTCCTTGGCGCCGACATGAAATCGTTCATTCCATCGTCTCCTCACGAATCCGCTATCTGCATGGGTTGCTTGATTTCTTTCTCGCTCTAGGGATACAATGTACAGTGAAAAGGTTGAACGAATTTTAAAAAGTATTATTTAGGGAAAGAAAGAAAATGTGAAATACGCGTTGTATGGTAGCATAGGGTCTCAAGTTACTACTTTTAATAGTTTTATGCGAGCTTTGCTAACACACCCACTTTAGAAGATTCATTTAAATTATTGAGACTCTCTATAAGACTGGACAGAAGTTGTGGAGTATCGAACAAAACGATTATTTTCATCACCCTCTATTTTAGAAAAGGCTACCATTGGAAAAGTGAATTCTCATCTATATGGGACTCCCTCGCTCTTTTCCCGAAAGTAACTTAAACCGGGAGTTGGTTGTGCTGCAGTGAACCTAAAGCTAAAAGATCAATTGACATCGCTAGTCAGTAGGTGTCAGTTGAAGATGGAGCCGCCAGAAGAGTGTCCAAGGAATTCCATCTGGCCCCAATCCACCCATCTTGGCCTATCTTTCCGTAACATAAATGTTTGGAAACTTCCAAAAAAATCATCTTGGAACAGACTCGTCAATTTATTCCTGAAAACCGATGTTGAAGGCATCAAACACATCCTCCATGACGGTATTCCATTCCTCACATTTTAAAAGCCCAGTGAATTGCTTTAGTTCCTATCATGACCATTATCGAAGCCTTCAATTTCGTGCCTGACTAGTGGGTGGGATCGTGCATTCGGGGGAAATGTTAGCCATTATGGGAGCGACTGGAGCCGGGAAGTCGACGCTGATGAACGTGATGACGTCGCGGAACTTGGGAGATCTCAAAGTCTCAGGGGAACTCATGGTGAACGGGAAGTCTATCAAGAGAAGTGCGTTGGCAGGCATTTCCGCCTACATCCAACAGGAAAACGTCTTCATCGGTTCCCTCACTGTCAGGGAACACCTGCGATTTCAGGCAGGAAATATGAAAATCTATGTGAAAGTCGAATGAATATTCTCTTTCACAATTTCTTTTCCCTGCTATAGGCTCTGTTGAGAATGGGCAAAGAAGTCAGTCACCAACAACGAATGAAGCGAGTTGAAGATATTATCATTGAGGTGTAGCAACTTTAGCGTTCAGACATTCCAAGATGACAAA